GGAGGAGGGAGAGGAGGAAGGAGAGGAGGAGGAGGAGGGAGAGGAGGAGGAGGAATAGGACAAAGATGAACAGGAGTGCTAGAGCCACAGCTGCTGGAATGCCCGAGGCAGAACTGTGTACACATCTGGGGACACTTCAATAATCTAACTTTATGGCCCATGCCCTGGAGGGGGCACTGGGGAGATGGCAGCCCCAGGAGCTGTGGGCGAAGTACCTGACACTGCAAGATAATAAACAGCAATAATTAGGTCTTCCTGGAAAACAGATGAACACTGTTATTAAAACTTTTATTATCTATATGTTTTATATGAATCAAATTGCCTCCAGCTGCTATAATTTGGGAGCAATGACGATGAGGGAAGAAGTAATAATAATGAATTAAATCACAAACAGATCCTGCCTGGGGAAGTTGTAGGGGCTGCTTCAGAAACGGAGCCTGAGATTCTGCCCTGGTCAGCAGGAGGCAGGCCCCTGGAGCCCAAGGTCCCGAGTGGGACCAGCAGCACCCACAGCGCATCCTGAGATCTATGTCTCAAATATGGCCCCAGGGAAGATGGGTTCCTAACCGAATGTGGGAGATTACTCCTCTCTTTGCATTAAAATGAAAATCATTACCTGTGCCCATAAAAGTATTCTAGCTTCTTTCACTTTGGAATTCATTTGATTACTTCTGTGGCCTAGAGAATGTTAATATACATGGATGGACAAGAAAATTCTATTATTTAAGCAAAGCCTTAAAGAAATACTGAATTGCATTTTACAAGTCAAAGAAAAAACACAAAAAGTGTCACTACTGAGACTATCCGGAGCATTTTATATAGTGCTGATGACCTGGCAGCCTTGGCTGAGGAGGTCATACCTAATTAAGGAGCCAAGTGCTGCCCTGTGGTGCTTCTTTTCCAGGTCTGTGACCCTAAGTGTCCTGTTTTTAAGTTGCATTCATCTGGCAAGCCCTTGAGAGGCATTTTCGTTTCCTTGACCTGGAGGTGGATGGTGCTGATATTGGTTTCACCCGCACAGAGCAAATCCCCCCCTGCCATTAAGATGGCTTT